GGTATATATATACTGTATGTCTGGGTGTATATACTGTATGTCTGTGTATATATATACTGTACTGTTGTCTGGGTGTATATATAATGTATGTCTGGGTATATATACTGTATGTCTGGGTATAGATACTGTATGTCTGGGTGTATATATACTGTATGTCTGGGGGTACATATACTGTATGTCTGTGTGTATATATACTGTATGTCTGTGTGTATATATACTGTATGTCTGGGTGTATATACTGTATGTCTGGGTATTTATACTGTATGTCTGTGTGTATAGATACTGTATGTCTGTGTATATATTCTGTATGTCTGGGTATAATTACTGTATGTCTGGGTATATATACTGTATGTCTGGGTATATATACTGTATGTCTCTGTGTATATACTGTATGTCTGTGTGTATAGATACTGTATGTCTGTGTATATATACTGTATGTCTCTGTGTATATACTGTATGTCTGTGTGTATAGATACTGTATGTCTGGGTATATATATACTGTATGTCTGGGTATAGATACTGTATGTCTGGGTGTATATACTGTATGTCTGGGTGTATATACTGTATGTCTGGGTGTAAATATACTGTATGTCGGGGTATATATACTGTATGTCTGGGTACATATACTGTATGTCTGTGTGTATATACTGTATGTCTGGGTGTATATACTGTATGTCTGGGTATATATACTGCATGTCTGTGTGTATATACTGTATGTCTGTGTATATATACTGTATGTATGGGTATATATACTGTATGTCTGGGTGTATAGATACTGTATGTCTTGTGTATATATACTGTATGTCTGGGTATAGATACTGTATGTCTGGGTATAGATACTGTATGTCTGGGTGTATATACTGTATGTCGGGGTATATATACTGTATGTCTGGGTGTATATACTGTATGTTTGGGGTATATATACTGTATGTCTGGGTGTATATACTGTATGTCGGGGTATATATACTGTATGTCTGGGTGTATATACTGTATGTCGGGGTGTATATACTGTATGTCTGGGTGTATATACTGTATGTCTGGGTGTATATACTGTATGTCTGGGTGTATATACTGTATGTCGGGGTATACTTGTTGCTAACCTATATCTCTTCTACGATGTACTTAAAGTGTCAGTTCACCTGTTTACAAGCAAAATGAAAAAGTGAACTAACACAGTACACCCCCCCCCCCCCCCCCCCCCCCGCTATTGCAGCCCACAGTCACACCATGCATTGTTTCCATGTAGCCCCCTCCTAGTCAGGTGCTCAGTTTGTACACTTAGGTGTATAGGTAGCTGTGTTTCTCTGCTCACCAGAGAGGCTGTCAGGTAAATCCAGAGTGGTATTCTATATAACAGAGGGCTGTGATGGATTAGTCAGGTCTGCTCATGCTGTCATGCTGCTCTGGTGCTGTTGAAGTTTGTCTGAGTTCTGCCTGCCTTTAGGAATGCTATGAGAGCCTTCCAGAACATGGGAAGGGGAAAGGAAAATGAACAGCATGAATATGGATACAGCCCTGGCCAATTACAGGGGCAGTTGGCCCCATTGCATGATGGGAGTGGTATTTATATTGCACTGAGACTGCTGTATGACACTGAGACTTCTGACACTGAGACTGCTGTATGACACTGAGACTTCTGACACTGAGACCTCTGACACTGAGACTGCTGTGTGACACTGAGACTTCTGACACCGAGACTGCTGTGTGACACTGAGACCTCTGACACTGAGACCTCTGACACTGAGACCTCTGACACTGAGACTGCTGTATGACACTGAGACTTCTGACACTGAGACCTCTGACACTGAGACTGCTGTGTGACACTGAGACCTCTGACACTGAGACTGCTGTGTGACACTGAGACCTCTGACACTGAGACCTCTGACACTGAGACTTCTGACACTGAGACCTCTGACACTGAGACTTCTGACACTGAGACTGCTGTGTGACACTGAGACTTCTGACACTGAGACTGCTGTGTGACACTGAGATTTCTGACACCGAGACTGCTGTGTGACACTGAGATCTCTGACACTGAGACTGCTGTGTGACACTGAGATCTCTGACACTGAGACTTCTGACACTGAGACTGCTGTGTGACACTGAGACTTCTGACACTGAGGTCTCTGACACTGAGACTTCTGACACTGAGACTTCTGACACTGAGATTTCTCACACTGTGACTGTTGTGTGACACTGAGACCGCTGACACTGAGACTGCTGTGTGACACTGAGACTTCTGACACTGAGACTTCTGACACTGAGTCCTCTGACACTGAGACTGCGTTTGTGACACTTAGACTGCTGACACTGAGACCGCTGACACTGAGACTGCTGTGACACTGAGATTTCTGACACTGAGTCCTCTGACACTGAGACTGCATTGTGACACTGAGACTGCTGACACTGAGACTGCTGTTTGACACTGAAACTTCTGACACTAAGACTGCTGTTTGACACTGAGACCGCTGAGACTGCTGTGTGACGCTGAGACCTCTGACACTGAGACTGCTGTGTGACACTGAAACTTCTGACACTGAGACTGCTGTGTAACTCTGAGATCGCTGACACTGAGACTGCTGTGTGACACTGAGACCTCTGACACTGAGACTGCTGTGTGACACCAAGGATGCTGACACTGAGAATGCTGTGTGACACTGAGACCTGACATTGAGATTGTTGTGTGACACTGAGACCTGACACTGAGACTGCTGTGTGACACCGAGACCTCTGAGACTGCTTTGTGACATTGAGACCTCTGACACTGAGACTGCTGTGTGACATTGAGACCTCTGACACTGAGACCTCTGACACTGAGACTGCTGTGTGACCTTGAGACCTCTGACACTGAGATTGCTGTGTGACACTTGAGACCTCTGACACTAGGACTGCTGTGTGACACCAAGACCTCTGACACTGAGACTGCTGTGTGACAATGAGACCTGACATTGAGACTGCTGTGTGACACCGAGACCTCTGAGACAGCTGTGTGACACTGAGACCTCTGACACTGAGACTGCTGTGTGGCACTGAGACCTCTGACACTGAGACTGCTGTGTGACACCGAGACCTCTGACACTGAGACTGCTGTGTGACACTGAGACCTCTGACACTGAGACTGCTGTGTGAGACTGAGACCTCTGACACTGAGACCTCTGACACTGAGACTGCTGTGTGAGACTGAGACCTCTGACACTGAGACCTCTGACACTGAGACTGCTGTGTGAGACTTTTTTGCAGCCTCTAAACGCTCCTCTCCTAATACTCCTGTAAATGCCTGTATGCATGGACACAGAGGTTGGAGGTTGGAGGTTGAAGGCAGAGGTGTGTTTACAGGCTGAACAAAAAGTTAAACACCTGTAAAAGCGGCATTTTCTTTTTAAGCTCAGTGTGCGTGGGGCCTAAAAGTGGACAATGCCTGCTCGGTCTTTGCCAGGATGGCTTCTTGTAGTCTCTGCCCGGGGTGCATGTGACAGGGTGACAATGCAGGAGCATAGCTGGGAGACCTTGTCCTGTGTCGCCCGGTCTTCTTCCAGGTTCAGGATCTTAGATCAACCTGATTGGTTGTGCTGGGATTCATTCATCCAAGCAAATGTTGAAACTGTACAGTGAGCTGCGCATGCACAACTTGGTGTTCACTGTCAAAAAGATTGCTAACAGGCAGGTAAGAATCCATTTCTTTTTTGCAAATGAGACTTATTAGGGGTTATTTACTAAAACTGAAGCGTCTGTACATGGCAGCCAATCAGCTTCCGCTTCATCTTGTTCAGTTCAGCTTTGACAATAAAACCTGAAAGCTGATTGGCTTCTATGCTGAGCTGCACCACATTTTGCACTCTCCAGTTTTAGTAAATCTCTCCCTAGGTCTATATGCTCCAGCAAAGGCAAGCTGCCCCTGGCTATAGTCAAACAAGTATGCACTCATCAACACTACTTTTTGGGGAAGATAGAAAAAACTTAGTAGAATGTTTTTATATTTTTTAGGAAGAAGCTGACACCTGCAGAGACAGTCCCTGGTGAGCAATAATTTGTTTTGCTAGCCTCAGTTGTAGCCACTGAGCTATCATGCTGCTAAGGCCCCAATATACACGGGACGTTTCTAAACGATGGAAACTGACTGCTGGAAAACGTAGGTTTAGTCGCGTTTGCATACCGCGTTTATGTGCGTTTGCATTTAGAAGCGTTTTTTAAAGACAGGAGAACCTCCCAAATGCCCAGAATGCACTGAAAAGTGGTAAATTATTAACTATTTCTGACTGTTTCAGAGAAATAGAGAGAGTGGAAGCAGAGACAGCAGTATGTGTTGAGATTAGTTTGGGTGTGAGTCGCTCATTAACATTTCTTTTGTTTCCAAGGGTGGGAAAGGTGTCTGGTGGAGGAGTCATTAAGGTCACCTGGCAGGGGGTCTTCATGAGGAATTGGAGGTGTGAATGGTCATTAACATATCTTTTGTTTCCAAGGGTGGGAGAGGTCTGAGGTGTGAATTGGTCATTACAATGTGTGACAAGCTTGGTAGGAACATCCTGTGTTCAGTGTTTTGTCCATCTGAGCAGCTTGAAAACTCTTTGCATGCATTTTTCATGATGAAAAAAGGCTCTGGACAGCATCGGGAACTGGAAGAGTTAAAACTATTTTGACCACAAACGCTTATAAACGCGATTTGCCGCGTTTACAAGCGTTTTGCATTTGAAACGCTGATAAAATCGATGTCTGAACGCAAGTTTGTTGCGTTCAAAAAACCGACTAAACTCAACTGCCTGTAAACGACGATGTGTACATGGACACATAGGAAAACATTAGGGAGAGTTCAGGGGCTGCTGAAAAAAACGCTGAACAGCTCCTAAATGTGATCAGCTTTAGTGTACATGAGCCCCAATAGGATTTTGGTGCATTGCTGCTCCCTATCTCCCTGCATTGATGCTATTGCGTGTTATTCTGTTGTATCTGCAGGTCTCAGAGTCCTGGCCATGATGTGTGGCCCCTGGTTTGTTCTTCTCCTGCTGGCCGTACCAGGAAGCAGCTCAGCTGTCAGTGAAATCCGTAACTGTGCAGATGCTGCCCGAGAGCTGAGGGAGAGAGGTCTGGGAGGCATCCCTGGTGTCAGGACACCAATATCTGGTACGTCTGCATGGTACACAGTATACTCTGCTAAATGTTATCTATTTCATGCCTGTTTGGTGCATCTGCATGGCTGACACTTTAGGGCGAAACTGCAGCCAAAAGCTTTTCCTTTAGTTTTGGGTAAATTGGAGAAAGCTTAATACCCCTGTAGGATTTTAATGCCACATGTGTGAGTGAGGTGCTGGTTTTAACGTATCAAAGTGTTGAAGAAAGTGAATCAAATTCACAGAGGGCACAATAGTGTGGCTGCTCTGTGCACAGACAGGGTACCCCTAGGTGGGAGATCCAACGTTTGGGATCCGTGTGTGTCCATTGGAAGTGCCAATGCAAAGAGGTGAATCCAAATTTTTTTTAAATAATGGTGTTAATTCACAAGACAATATGAAACAGCCAGCGCATTCCAGAGGTACAAAAACACTAACAATAATATATAAAGCCATTTATAACTCTGCCCCAAATTACATCACCGATCTTATTCATTCCCTGGTTATCTCTCACCTTGACTATTGTAACTCCCTCCTCATTGGCCGACCTCATCGCAGACTATCCCCTCTTCAGTCTATCATGAATGCTGCTGCCAGATTCATCCACCTTACTAACCGTTCTGTATCTGCCACCCCTCTCTGCCAATCCCTCCACTGGCCTCCACTCAGTGTCCTCCACCCCTCTCTGCCAATCCCTCCACTGGCCTCCACTCAGTGTCCTCCACCCCTCTCTGCCAACCCCTCCACTGGCCTCCACTCAGTGTCCTCCACCCCTCTCTGCCAACCCCTCCACTGGCCTCCACTCAGTGTCCTCCAAGTCCCCCCTCTCTGCCACTCCCTCCACTGGCCTTCACTCGGCGTCCTCCACCCCTCTCTGCCAACCCCTCCACTGGCCTCCACTGAGTGTCCTCCACCCCTCTCTGCCAATCCCTCCACTGGCCTCCACTCAGTGTCCTCCACCCCTCTCTGCCAATCCCTCCACTGGCCTCCACTCAGTGTCCTCCACCCCTCTCTGCCACTCCCTCCACTGGCCTCCACTTCAGTGTCCTCCACCCCTTTCTGCCAATCCCTCCACTGGCCTCCCTTCAGTGTCCTCCACCCCTCTCTGCCAATCCCTCCACTGGCCTCCACTCAGTGTCCTCCATCCCTCTCTGCCAATCCCTCCACTGGCCTCCACTCAGTGTCCTCCACCCCTCTCTGCCAATCCCTCCACTGGCCTCCACACAGTGTCCTCTACCCCTCTCTGCCAACCCCTCCACTGGCCTCCACTCAGTGTCCTCCACCCCTCTCTTCCACTCCCTCCACTGGCCTTCACTCAGCGTCCTCCACCCCTCTCTGCCAACCCCTCCACTGGCCTCCACTGAGTGTCCTCCACCCCTCTCTGCCAATCCCTCCACTGGCCTCCACTCTGTGTCCTCCACCCCTCTCTGCCAATCCCTCCACTGGCCTCCACTCAGTGTCCTCCACCCCTCTCTGCCAATCCCTCCACTGGCCTCCACTCAGTGTCCTCCACCCCTCTCTGCCACTCCCTCCACTGGCCTCCACTCAGTGTCCTCCACCCCTCTCTGCCAATCCCTCCACTGGCCTCCACTCAGTGTCCTCCACCCCTGTCTGCCAATCTCTCCACTCAGTGTCCTCCACCCCTCTCTGTCAATCCCTCCACTGGCCTCCACTCAGTGTCCTCCACCCCTCTCTGCCAATCTCTCCACTGGCCTCCGCTCAGTGTCCTCCACCCCTCTCTGCCAATCCCTCCACTGGCCTCCGCTCAGTGTCCTCCACCCCTCTCTGCCAATCCCTCCACTAGCCTCCGCTCAGTGTCCTCTACCCCTCTCTGCCAATCCCTCCACTGGCCTCCACTCAGTGTCCTCTACCCCTCTCTGCCAATCCCTCCACTGGCCTCCGCTCAGTGTCCTCCACCCCTCTCTGCCAATCTCTCCACTGGCCTCCACTCAGTGTCCTCCATCCCTCTCTGCCAATCCCTCCACTGGCCTCCACTCAGTGTCCTCCATCCCTCTCTGCCAATCCCTCCACTGGCCTCCACTCAGTGTCCTCCACCCCTCTCTGCCAATCCAAGTGTGAACAGTGCTCAACGGCGCTGAAAACCATATTATGAAGCAATCTCATGTATAAAACGTCAAAGGTGCATATAGTGACATGAGTGACAAAGTCAATCTATCCAATGGTAGTAATGCATGGTGAGAAATCCGTGACTCCTGCGGCTGTGAGAATGGATGTGGATTACACTAACCGTCCATGTGAGCTGTGCAGAGTGTAGTCACTGCTTAGGAGCACCTCCCTAACGCGTTTCGTGTTAATACACTTTTTCAAAGTGTTATTTTTTTTCAGATCTTACTTCATTTTCAGGTTCTCGTCTCCATTTTCAACCATGACAGCTGGTTAGCAGTTCATCCTTGCAGTGCCCACCCAGAATGATTTTGTGTGGAGTAGACTTTTAACTGGTATTGATCCACACTGGCACAGATGGACCTGATTTACATAGGCAGCTGTGAAGAGGACCAAACTAAGAGTGGAACAGCTGCCCATTGCAAACAACCTTTTTTCCATCTGTCAGATAAATGAATCCAATTGGATACTATGGATGCTTACATCTCTAATTTTGTATTTGTTTCTTCTTCCAGATATGGTACATTATATCTGTTTGCAAATTTTATTTTGTTGCCACAGGTGGGAATACACGATTAGAAAAATCGACCAATTGGTCATCCGACAACCGAGAGGCGTTTGTTCGTTGGTTGAAATCATGGCCCACATTAAACAATCCAAAAAAAAATTGTTCGTCGGGCAATACGTAGTGTTGACGTCTTCCGTACAAGTGGAAGTGATGCGGTGTGCGTGTGACCTTGTAGCCACGCCCTTCCGGCCAGAACAAGCGATATACACAACAATTACCAGCAATGAGTATAATATCGTTTATTACATGACCTATACACATAAATAGTGATACATAAAATATAATCTGCAGAATTCTGGTTTCATTATTTCATTGGGCCGATCTACTTTTAACATTTGGATTTTTCGTTCGTGTTTACAAGGATTCCTTGGACATAAACATCCGGGTCATCTTCTGTTTCCGCTCATGTGTGATCGCGCTTGATAGGTTGTTTTCATACGACTGTCATACCACCGCATAGAAAATCGGTCGTTCGTATGCGAAACGACAACATTTTTCACTGTTGTTCAACCGGATTTTTTCGTTCACAGTATCGTTACCGGTTAAAACATCCTACTCATCAACAAAGAGAAAATCGTTCGATCAGGGGTTCCGCTAAATTTATCGGACGATTTTCTTATCGTATTTGTATTTTTGTTTCCTAGGAGAGCACCTGAGAATATGCCCCCAGGAGTACACGTGTTGCCCAAGTGAGACGGAACAAAGACTGAGTGACGAGAGCGTGAGAGATCTGGCCCGTATCGTGAACGACAGCGTCAGTTACCCAATGGGGGTATTAACGGGGGCGAGAAGAAGATTCCAGGGTGAGTGTTTATTGTAAGCTCCCAAGATCAGGCCCTCCTATCCCTCTTGTATTGGACTGTATTGTTGCTGTATTGTCTCTCGTTATATTGTAAAGTGCTGAGCAAACTGTTGGCTCTATGTAAATCCTGTATAATAATAATAATATATAAATCCTGTATAATAATAATAATATATAAATCCTGTATAATAATAATAATATATAAATCCTGTATATAATAATAATAATATATAAATCCTGTATAATAATGATAATAATAATATTATATAAATCCTGTATAATAATAATATATAAATCCTGTATAATAATAATAATATATAAATCCTGTATAATAATGATAATAATAATATATATAAATCCTGTATAATAATAATATATAAATCCTGTATAATAATGATAATAATAATAATAATATATAAATCCTATATATAATAATAATAATATATAAATCCTGTATAATAATAATATATAAATCCTGTATAATAATGATAATAATAATATATATATAAATCCCGTATAATAATAATAATATATAAATCCTGTATAATAATAATATATAAATCCTGTATAATAATCATAATATATAAATCCTGTATAATAATAATAATATATAAATCCTGTATAATAATGATAATAATAATAATATATAAATCCCGTATAATAATAATAATATATAAATATAATAATAATATATAAATCCTGTATAATAATAATATAATAATATATAAATCCTGTATAATAATAATATATAAATCCTGTATAATAATAATATATAAATCCTGTATTATAATAATAATAATAATAATAATAATAATATATAAATCCTGTATAATAATAATAATAATAATAATAATATATAAATCCTGTATAATAATCATAATAAATATAAATCCTGTATAATAATAATAATAATGATTTTTTTTTTTTTTTCGTTCTATAGCATTATCGAAAAAAATGGTATATTCTTGGTTAAATTTTTAATTTAGGTTGAGACGGGACAGAGAGGATAAATGCTGGTAGCTACTGCTGAACTACTTATAAAACTGCAAGTTGCCTGACTGTCTCTGACTTTTAAATTTTCTGAGATTCTAAGCTGGAACAAGCATGCAGGTTAAAGTCAGAGAGACGTTTCCTAGATACACAGAATATAACTGGATACTAACATTTATAGGTAAAGTTGATCCAGGGAATATCTGATTGCCTCTCGGGGGATCAGGAAGGAATTTTTTCCCCTGCAGGAGCAAATTGTATTGTGTTTTGTTGGGTTTTTTTGCCTTCCTCTGGAAACTGTGGGTATAGGATTATAACTTTTTTTTTTTCTATGGTTGAACTGGATGGACTTTTGTCTTTTATCAGCCAGACTAACTATGTAAGTTAAAATTCGCGATGACCATATTTTTTCCAGGTTTTTGCCTCAGGATTAGAACATTGGGGCCCTTTCACATGGGCAGTTTGCATTCTGATCAGCAGGCAATCCACTCACAGATCCTCTGCTGATCAGAGCAGAGTTGGTAGATGACAGGTCTGTGTCCACCAGGGGCGGACAGACCATTTCGAAACTAGGGCACTGCACGTGGGCCCCGTGAGATGCCCCTGGTACCTTTTTCATAGGCTTTTTTGAGTTTGGGCAAGGACACAGGGGCCCCATGATCCCCTATTGCCCGGGGGCCCCATGAGTTGTCAGTCCGCCCCTGGTGTCCACTCAGTTTCTGCAGAGCGGAAACGGACAAACCCTGCTCTGCGGGCAGCCAGGCAGACAGAGAGACTCCGCTGCTCGTTTACCCCTGGCTGCCTCCGAACCAGTCTGCCCTAATGGAAGAGAACACAGTCCTCCTCTATTTTTTTTTTCTTTTTAGCGGGCCTGTGGTAGCAAGTGTAAATCGGTACAAGTCTGTTTACACCGGCTTGTCCATAGGAATGCATGGACCCAGGGGCATCCCTAGTGTTGGTGTCACCCGGTGTGATAACACTTGGCGACACCCTCTTCGACGATCCCTGCAGAATGGATCGGATCTGCGGATTGAGCATAATGGATCGGAGTCTGATCCATTATGCTCCCCAATCCGCACATCGGATCCATCCTGCGGGGATCGTCAGCATGCAACCTATACGGGGTGACACTGGACCCGCTCCACGAAAAGGTAAGTTGTAAAGAAAGCCGACGATCCCCGCAGGATATAAATACCACCAAAATAATTTTTCTGTCTCAAAAAAATGCTAAAAAATTCATATGGGTACAGTGTTGCATGACTGCGCAATTGTCATTCAAAGTGTGATAGCACTGAAAGCTGAAAATTGGACTGGACAGGAAGAGGGTAAAAGTGTCCGGACTGGAAGTGGTTAATCATGTCCCTGTACAGTATTTATGCCTTTAAAGTGCACTTTATAAAGAGTTTTGAACAGATAAAACTTTTTTTTTACTTTTTTCTGACCATCTGGAACGGATTAATTGATTTTCAATGCATTTACGAATTAATTTTGAATCACGTCCCTGTACAGTATTTATGCCTTTAAAGTGCACTTTATAAAGAATTTTGAACAGATAAGACTTTTTTTTTAACTTTTTTCTGACCTCCGGAACGATTAATTGGTTTTCAGTGCATTCCTATGGGAAACCGCATTTCGGTTTACAAAATTTTTCACAATAAGAAAAGCCCCGCAGAACGAATTAAATTCATAAACCGAGGTACGCCTATACTTCCCAGGCTCCTACAAAAAAAATAGTAAATACACATTTTTTTTACCTGCAAAAAAATGTGCATTTATTATTTTTTTTAGAAAGTTAAACTTAAGGATAACACCACTTTTTTGCGGGAAACAAATAGCAAATAAAAAAAAATATACCAATAATATACCGTATAAAATTGCGACGCAAGTCATATTGTAATCGAATGTTATTAAATAGGACCTTTTCTTTTTAATCTGTAGTGCTGCAATTTTCTGTAAACTGCAATGCAATATGGCTGCCTGGAGGCATTCTGTACACAGAAGGTGTACGGTACGCCCCCCCCAGAAATGTTATTTTCTGCTTGTGTGATTGGCTCACTGATTTTCCCAGACATCTGCACTAAGATACATGTCAGATTTTAGGCACCTTGCAACAAAAGTTTAATTTTTGGTGAACCACTCCCAATGGGAAATCACATGTAAAGGGATGCAGACCCTGCAGTTTTCCTCGTTAGAACCCTGCAAGTGTATCAGCGGATTGATAATTATAAAATCCCATACAGTCTCTGCACACGGACACAAACAGACAGCTTCTTCTTCAGAATAACAAAAGGTAGGAATCTGCAACAAAATTTTGGTAAAATCCTTGCAATGTACATAGATCACCCAGAGGGGAAGGTTTTTTTTAATCAACAAAACTGAAGTTACTCTTTATATGTGTGTGATCAATGCCTGCGCAATAAATATAACACATGTTCTGCTTTTGTGTTGCAGAGTTCTTCCTCGCACTCCTTGACTCTTCTGAGCATTCCCTCTCCACCATGTTTGTACTTTCCTATGGACGCCTGTACTCCCAGAATGCCGTTCTCTTCAGTACTCTCTTCTCGGAGCTGCGTGCATTCTACATGGGTGGAGGAGCCCCCAGATTGGCCGAAGCGCTCTCCGAATTTTGGGTCGGACTGTTGGAGCGCATGCTCCGTCTCCTGCTTCCTCATTACGAGCTGAGTGCCGACTACATGGAGTGTGCTGTGCGCAGAGCTGACGAGCTGAGCCCTTTTGGTGAAACGCCAAGAAGACTTCGACTGCAGGTCTGATAGCTACCTGATTGTACAGAAATGACATAATGCTGATGCAGTCTTATTAGTTGGATGCATGCATTTTGTTCAAGTCAGAATGCCCCTTGCAGCTCATGTTAGAACTGCAGCACAATTTAGCAGATAAATGGTATAAAGCATCCTTTCTCAGACAGGTGTCTAGGGGGTTCCATGAGCAATGAGCAACCTTTACTTCTCAGTCAAATTACCACTGACATGAATGATGTCTATAGCTATCTGCAAAGGGGGCATTTTTCCCACTGACCACCAAAGTATGGAGAAGTTTTCCCACTGATTACCGATATAAGGGCATTCTTCCCACTGACCACCAATGTAGGAAGCATTTTTCCCACTGACCACCAATGTAAGGAGTATACTTCTCACTTATCGCCAGTGTAAGAAGCATTTTTCCCACTGATCACCAATGTAAGAAGCATTTTTCCCACTGACTGCCAGTGTAAGAAGCATTTTTCCCACTGATCGCCAATGTAAGGAGCATTCTTCCCACTGACTGCCAGTGTAAGAAGCATTTTCCCACTGACCGCCAATGTAGGGAGCATTCTACCCACTGATCACCAATGTAAGGGGCATTCTTCCTACTGATCACCAATGTAAGAGGCATTCTTCCCACTGACCACTAATGTAAGAAGCATTTTTCCCAATGACCATTAATGTAAGGAACATTCTTCCCACTGACCTCCAGTGTAAGGAGCATTCTTCCCACTGACCATCAATGTAGGGAGCATTCTTCCCACTGACCATCAATGTAAGGAGCATTCTTCGCACTGACCACTAATGTAAGAAGCATTTTTCCAAATGGCCGCCAATGTAAGGAGCATTCTTCCCACTGACTGCCAGTGTAAGAAGCATTTTTCCCACTGACCGCCAGTGCAAGGAGCATTCTTCCCACTGACCACCAATGTAAGGGGCATTCTTCCCACTGACCACCTATGTAGGAGCATTTTTCCCACTGACCACCAATGTAGGGGCATTTTTCCACTGACCACCAATGTAAGGAGCGTTCTTTCCATTGACCACCAATGTAAGGAGCGTTCTTTCCATTGACCACCAATGTAAGGAGTGTTCTTTCCATTGACCTGCAATGTAGGAAGCATTTTTCCCAGTGTTCTTTCACGCACCAAATGACCTGCAATGTAGGAAGCATTTTTCCCACTGACCACCAATATAAGGGGACATTCTTCCCACTGACCACCAATGTAATGGGGCATTCTTCCTACTGACCACCAATGTAAGGGAAGTATTCTTCCCACTGACCACCAATCAATGTAAGGGCATTCTTCCCACTGCATTCTTCCCACTGACCACCAATGTATGGAGATTCTTCCCACTGGTAAGGGACATTCTTCCCACTGACCACCAATGTAAGGAACATTCTTCCCACTGATCACCAATGTAAGGGACATTCTTCCCACTGACCACCAATGTAAGGGACATTCTTCCCACTGATCACCAATGTAAGGGACATTCTTCCCACTGACCACCAATGTAAGGGACATTCTTCCCACTGACCACCATAATGTAATGTGGGTTTTGGATATAGTTACTATTGTCAGGGGTTCCCTGAGACATGAACGTTTTTTTCAAGGGTTCTTCCATGTTAAAAAGGTTAGGACTGGCATAAAGTGTGTTGTGCTGCTGATATGGATTTGATATGCCAACCATTGTTCACTACACAAAAGAATCGAGGACACCCTACAACAGGATGATAAATGATACTTTATTTTTTTTTTTTATACATCAATATTTTAGTTAATTAAAAAACATTTATATAAAACTGAAGCAGAAACAGTACAAAGTAAGGATAAATACAAGCTATTATGACAGGCATACAGGGTGACAGACATACAGGGTGACAGGCATACAGAGTGACAGGCATACAGAGTGACAGGCATACAGAGTGAAAGGCATACAGACTGACAGACATACAGGGTGACAGGCATACAGAGTGACAGGCATACAGAGTGACAGACATACAGGGTGACAGACATGACAGACATACAGGGTGACAGGCATACAGAGTGAAGGCATACAGAGTGACAGACATACAGGGTGACAGGCATACAGAGTGACAGGCATACAGAGTACAGACAGACATACAGGGTGACATACAGACATACAGGGTGACAGGCATACAGAGGCATACAGACATACAGAGTGACAGACATACAGGGTGACAGGCATACAGAGTGACAGGCATACAGAGTGACAGACATACAGGCTTACAGGCATACAGACATACAGAGAGACAGACATACAGACATACAGGGTGACAGGCATACAGGGTGACAGGGCATACAGGCTTACAGGCATACAGACATACAGAGTGACAGACATACAGAGTGACAGACATACAGGGTGACAGGCATACAGGGTGACAGGCATACAGGCTTACAGATACAGACATACAGGGTGACAGGCATACAGACATACAGGTGACAGACATACAGGGTGACAGGCATACAGACATACAGAGTGACAGACATACAGTGTGACAGACATACAGACATACAGGATGACAGACATACAGGGTGACAGACAGATACAGTGTGACAGCATACAGACATACAGGTGACAGACATACAGGGTGACAGACATACAGACATACAGAGTGACAGACATACAGAGTGACAGATATACAGACATACAGACATACAGGTGACAGATATACAGACATACAGAGTGACAGACATACAGACATACAGGGTGACAGACATACAGACATACAGAGTGACAGACATACAGACATACAGAGTGACAGACATACAGGGTGACAGACATACAGACATACAGGGTGACAGACATACAGACATACAGAGTGACAGACATACAGGGTGACAGACATACAGACATACAGACTGACAGACATACAGTGTGACAGACATACAGAGTACAGCATACATACAGAGTGACAGGCATACAGAGTGACAGACATACAGAGTGACAGACATACAGACATACAAGGTGACAGACATACAGAGACATACAGGTGACAGACATACATACAGAGTGACAGGCATACAGGGTGACAGACATACAGACATACAGAGTGACAGACATACAGAGTGACAGACATACAGGGGGACAGACATACAGACATACAGAATGGGGCAAACTGTCAACTGTGACAAAGTCACTGAGAATATATCCATTCTATGTAGGTAATGCCACTGATAGGTGACAGCTCAGGGTCCTAGAAATGGACAGGCCACGGCTGGTGATTACAGATTTTAGGCATGTTAAGTTGTCATTACGTCTGATAAGTGTCTTCATGTGTATTGTCATATTCTAGAAAAGCCGTGTTTTGCTGGAGATTTTGTGTCATTGTTTGGATCCTTTGGTTTTTCAGATAACACGGGCATTGGGAGCGGCTAGAACACTGGTGCAAGGCTTGGCCACGGGAAGTGACATCGTCAACAGAGCTGCCAAGGTACAGCAGTACACCTGTAAGGGGATGCAATGACACAGACTGCAGGGGGGACACACACAGTAGTCAATGTTTGCACCCCCCCAACATAGGCACATACGAATAAAATCTGAGTCTATTCATGCACTGACAGAAGGGGGCTATGAGTCTGTCCTCCTCCTGCAGGGTGATACAGACAGAAGGAGATATGAGTCTGTCCTCCTCCTGCAGGGTGATACAGACAGAAGGGGGCTATGAGTCTGTCCTCCTCCTGCAGGGCGATACAGATAGAAGGGGGCTATGAGTCTGTCCTCCTCCTGCAGGGTGATACAGACAGAAGGGGGCTATGAGTCTGTCCTCCTCCTGCAGGGTGATACAGACAGAAGGGGGCTATGAGTCTGTCCTCCTCCTGCAGGGTGATACAGACAGAAGGGGGCTATGAGTCTGTCCTCCTCCTGCAGGGTGATACAGACAGAAGGGGGCTATGAGTCTGTCCTCCTCCTGCAGGGTGATACAGACAGAAGGGGGCTATAAGTCTGTCCTCCTCCTGCAGGGTGATACAGACAGAAGGGGGCTATGAGTCTGTCCTCCTCCTGCAGGGTGATACAGACAGAAGGGGGCTATAAGTCTGTCCTCCTCCTGCAGGGTGATACAGACAGAAGGGGGCTATGAGTCTGTCCTCCTCCTGCAGGGTGATACAGACAGAAGGGGGCTATGAGTCTGTCCTCCTCCTGCAGGGTGATACAGACAGAAGGGGGCTATGAGTCTGTCCTCCTCCTGCAGGGTGATACAGACAGAAGGGGGCTATGAGTCTGTCCTCCTCCTGCAGGGTGATAGAGACAGAAGGGGGCTATGAGTCTGTCCTCCTCCTGCAGGGTGATACAGACAGAAGGGGCTATGAGTCTGTCCTCCTCCTGCAGGGTGATACAGACAGAAGGGGGCTATGAGTCTGTCCTCCTCCTGCAGGGTGATACAGACAGAAGGAGATATGAGTCTGTCCTCCTCCTGCAGGGTGATACAGAAGGGGGCTATGAGTCTGTCCTCCTCCTGCAGGGTGATACAGAAGGGGGCTATGAGTCTGTCCTCCTCCTGCAGGCTGATACAGACAGAAGGGGGCTATGAGTCTGTCCTCTCCTGCAGGGTGATACAGACAGAAGGAGATATAAGTCTGTCCTCCTCCTGCAGGGTGATACAGAAGGGGGCTATGAGTCTGTCCTCCTCCTGCAGGGTGATACAGAAGGGGGCTATGAGTCTGTCCTCCTCCTGCAGGCTGATACAGACAGAAGGGGGCTATGAGTCTGTCCTCCTCCTGCAGGGTGATACAGACAGAAGGGGGCTATGAGTCTGTCCTCCTCCTGCAGGGTGATACAGACAGAAGGGGGCTATGAGTCTGTCCTCTCCTGCAGGGTGATACAGACAGAAGGGGGGCCATCATCCTGTAAGAGGGTGGCTACGTTCGTTCTCCATGGTTCCACTGTATGTAGGAATGTAGCCACTCTCTCATACTTTCTCCCAAGATAGACTATGGGACAGTGTGCATGGAGCAGTGTACATGACTGCAACTAACGTACATTGATCTTTCAAAACAAACAGAATTTAGGGGGGAAAAAGGAGAGCTTATGGAGAACGATACAAGGAAGCAAAAAAACACCTAAAGAAAAAGTTTCAAGAAAAATAGATTACAGGGCCATTAGGTGGTGGATCTGTATAGATTATTTTGGGGAAACAAGAATATTGGTTATTGTATTACTTTAGGTACACTAACCGAAATGGGAAGGAAATTCATGATTCTTGAATGATTAGTGGATGATTTGTATATTTCCTTGGAGTTAGTCTTTAGGTTTTAAGGAACTTGTACTAAACTAGTTGTGTGGCTGCCGATATTTTCTGAATTTCCTGGCATAGAAAAAAGTATTAGAAGTGGAAATCAGACTTCCTGATCTGCACAGTTGCTCCTGATCCGTGACTCAGATAGTATCAGTGAATTGTCCGGGGATCCAGGAAACCAGCAGTTCCCGAAGGAGGTCAGCAATGATTTCCTTTAAAGCGGAGCTCCTCTCACCTGTCAAAAAATAAAAGTCAGCAGCTACAAAAACTGTGGCTGCTGACTTTTAAAAAACAGCCACTTACCTGTCCCTCGGCCCCGCGGTGTGTCCCCCGCAGCTCTTTTCACCGGCTGTTCTGTATTCCAGGAGGCTGGCATCTTCAGTGTGGGCACCCGGCTGTGATGGCTTGCGGCTTTACAGCTGGATACCCACTGCGCATGCGCGAGAAGCTCTGCACTTCATGAATGGTCCTGTAGTCTTCTGGGACCTGTCACATGTCCCAAAAGACTACAGGGAGGGAGGGGGGAGGACACCTAGGCGATCGGACCAAAAGTGGGAGTGGGTACCTGTCAAATTCGGGTACCTGCTCCCCCCCACCCCCCAAAGGAGCCAATCCTTAATCGGGAGCTGGGGAGCAGTCCTTAAAGCGGAACTTCCCCTTTTGGGTGGAGCTCCGCTTTAAAGTAAAATTCCAGGCTATTGGCTAACTAAGCTTAAAGGATAAGTTCACCTTTTGGAACATGTTACATGTTCCACCCACGTGTTCCACCCATATTTGGGATGGAATATGTAACGTGTTCCACCCATATTTGGGATGGAATATGTAACGTGTTCCACCCATATTTAGGATGGAATATGTAACGCGTTCCACCCATACTTAGGATGGAATATGTAACGCGTTCCACCCATACTTAGGATTGAAATGTGTAACGCGTTCCACCCATATTTAGGATGGTATATGTATCGCATTCCACCCATACATAGGATGGAATATGTAACGCGTTCCACCCATATTTAGGATGGTATATGTAACGCGTTCCACCCATATTTAGGATGGAATATGTAACGCGTTCCACCCATATTTAGGATGGAATATGTAACGCGTTCCACCCATATTTAGGATGGAATATGTAACGCGTTCCACCCATATTTAGGATGGAATATGTAACGCGTTCCACCCATAATTAGGATGCAATATGTAACGCGTTCCACCCATACTTAGGAGGAATATGTAACGCGTTCCACCCATATTTAGGATGGAATATGTAACGCGTTCCACCCATACTTAGGATGGAATATGTAACGCGTTCCACCCATATTTAGGATGGAATATGTAACGCGTTCCACCCATATTTAGGATGGAATATGTAACGCGTTCCACCCATACTTAGGATGGAATATGTAACGCGTTCCACCCATACTTAGGATGGAATATGTAACGCGTTCCACCCATACTTAGGATTAGGATACTTAGGAATATGTAACGCGTTCCACCCATACTTAGGATGGAATATGTAACGCGTTCCACCCATACTTAGGATGGAATATGTAACGCGTTCCACCCATACTTAGGATGGAATATGTAACGCGTTCCACCCATAATTATGCTTAACGGACTTAGGATGGAATATGGAACGCGTTCCACCCATATTTCGGATGGAATAAGTAATGTGTTCCATCTCTTGATGCCGCTGGCTCCAATCCCTCTCTCATGGTGACAGTGGGCAGGATATCTTCTCCCCGCAGCTCTGTCCACACTGCCGCATCATTCATTCACAGAATCCTGTGGATTAATGAACTACAACTACCATCATCCATTGCGGCTGACAGTTTGTAGTTCTGAATGGACTGCAAGGGTGCTGATGAGTGCTCTCCTAGTTCATTGACAAGCCCTGCAGCTGGTAAACAGTCAGCCCATATAAAATTACGAGTTGAAAGTTGCAGAGCTTCTCTGCAGGAGCCTGAGATTTCACCGCTGATCCACTGATCTTGGGGGTAATGCTTTGAATTCTCCTCAGGGAAATAAAAAAAATTAAATGCACTTTTTTTTCTTAGAAAAATATACATATTTATAATTTTTTCCAAAAGGTGAACATATCCTTTAACCCCTTGGCGTCGGCGCCTCCCAGCCCTTTAAGGGTTCCAGAAGCCAGGAGGCGGGCAGGGTTTTAGGGTCATGTGACCGCCGTGATTCGCTGTCACGGCGGTTACATGATTGTGAAAGGTCCCGATCGCAAGAGGAGATTGGGACCTTCCCGTGAGTACCGAATGTGTGCGTGTGGTAGGTGTCACCCGGTATGGGCCGCACCCCCCGCACTTGCCTAGGGACGCCACTGCACCTGTGTAATAATTCCTAGTCTTCTTGGTTCATTTACTACTATTACTTCTCTGTGCTCAGGCTGTGCCACCTCCTGACTGTCTCCGAGCTGCCATGCGCATGTGGTATTGCCCACTCTGTCGGGGTTATACATCCCTCCTGCCCTGCCACGGACTTTGCCTCAATGTCTTGAAAGGCTGCCTCGCACACCAGGCGGACATGGATGCGGACTGGAACAGTTTGATAGGTTTGTGTCCTTCATAACTTCCTATTTTAATGGCAATAGTTTTCTGTTATTTTAGTTGTTTTAACATGCATCTTTATGTAACAAGGTAACTCCATTCATGATCTGTCATCCTCAGCGGTGGACTGACAACTCATGGGGCCCCCAGGCAATAGGAGATCATGGGGCCCCTGTGTCCTCGTCCACACTCAAACCACACCCAGAAAAGCCTATGAAAGGTACCAGGGGCATCTCATGGGGCCCCCTACTGACCCCGGGCCCTCGGGCAGTGCCCGGGTTCCCAATTGGTCAGTCCGTGTCAAGGTCCTACCTTTTCCCAGAAGTTATGTTACTCCATGTGCTGGCATCCATCTTGGATTTCTGCTGAGCATGGTGGGAATCTTTTATGCCTTCAGGTCTCTGAGGTCCATCCCCCAGAGGGGTGTGGCTGAGTACATATAAGCCTGTGATCCGCACATGCTCTTTGCACTTGTGTCTTGTGTCTTGGTCTTGCTACAGCTCTGTGTATACTCTTGTGACTCTTCTGGTATCTGACTCGGCTTGTGACTAGACCATTCTCTGTGTTTTCCTTTGATCTGACCTTCCGTTGCTGATCCCGGCCCGTGACCTGTGATTCTCTGTCTACTGTTCTGTACTGTTTTGTCCTGTTGTTGTTGACCCGGCCTGCCTGACTACGCTATTGTCAATATTACCAGTTACACACCATTGGCGGTGGCCATTACCGCAGCCGGGGTGTCTCGGGGGCCGCGACCTGGTTCCTGGCTGCGTCAAGTCCATCCCCACCATCAGGGGCCCTGGTGAAGGGCAGCCTGGGACTTAGACTCCGCGCCCTGAGGGACTTCGGTCTGTTGGTGGTTGTCGTCAGTCAGTGCGTTACCCTGCCACTAGGCCTACCTGTCCGTGCTACAGCCCTGCCTTGACATTCCGCTCCTGGTCATCCTGGTTCTGGTATCATTGTGTAGTGAGCAGGGGCGGACTGACAACTCATGGGGCCCCTTGGGCAATAGGAAATCACGGGGCCCCCGTGTCCTCGCCCACACTCAAACCACACCCAAAAAAGCCTATGAAAGGTACCAGGGGCATGTCATGGGGCCCCCTACTGACCCCGGGCCCTCGGGCAGTGCTTGAGCACCTAAATGGTCAGTCCGCCCCTGGTAGTGAGCCACTGTTCTGGGTAAAGCATGCAAGATGAGACATTTCAGGCTTCACTGACTGTGATTGCTCCAGGTTGGTGACAAACTAAGGTGTCCTTTGATCCTGCAGTGGTAAATGACCGCTGCTCAGTTCTCTGCCATTCTCAGAGGAGAGGGTTCTCCTCTGAATGCCTTTTTATGAAGCGGTGTAGATCACTTCTCCGAATGAAGGAAGAAGCGATCTACAAATGATTTGAACGCTGGAAAACGGCTACTTTTACTGCAATCTCGCGAGATTACAGTAAGAGATCAGTCAAACACCGTTTACTAAACAGCGGTAAATTATCTCTGCTTCGTTTGCGGTTCCTCCGATTTTCCAGCTCCGGGCTGGAGAACTTGGAGGAGAACGCAGATCGCCAGTGAAGGCCTGACATCGCTCCTTCATACATTGGCCATCCGTGTGCTGAGATGATCAGCGGAGTACATGTTCTCCGCTGATCATCTCTGTTTCCTAAACCACTAATGATCGGAGATCAGCAATGATCCTTAGGATCGCTGCTGATCTCTGTTTCATAAAAGGACACCTAAGTAGTGAATTCAGAAGCAGTATGTCAGCCCTAGAAAAAGATCTGGAAAAACAGGGGAACTAGTAAAAAAAAAAACTAGCCACTAGTATCACTTGTAGGCTCCTGCAGCAGATCTACTCCCCATTATTGACTTGCCATGCCTTGTTTTGGATTGTGGCAGATTGAGAGGCAACCATCTTGGCAGAGACAGGGTTTTGCTTCCTCATGTCAAATCTGTCCTTTGTGGCTCCAAGAAAGAGGGCTTGACCCTCAAAATGCAATAGCCGTTCTTGGATGCTATTAGGTCTTTCCATGCCATCAGCCGAGTATGTGAGTATCATGCTCACACACGCATGATATGCATTTGTGAGCATTCACTTGTTATGTACACTATTAGGGTTCAATTGCTTGGTAACACAAAAATTGCTAATCAGCCAATCACATGGCAGCAACCTAATACATTTAGGCATCTAGATGTGGTGAAAACGACTTGCTAAAGTTCAAACCGAGCATCAGAAAGGGGATATAAGTGACTTTGAATGTGGCATGGTTGTTGGTGCCAGATGGGCTGGTCTGAGTATTTCAAAAACTGCTGATCTACTGGGATTTTCACACGCAACGATCTCTAGGATTTACAGAGAATGGTCTGAAAAAGAGAAAATATCCAGTGGAAGGCAGTTGCATGGACGAAAATGCTTTGTTGATGTCAGAGGTCAGAGGAGAATAGACAGACTGATTTGAGATGATAGAAAGGCAACAGTAACTCTTGTCACCCTGTCAGGGGCGGACTGGCCATTTGAGCACTCGGGCACTGCCCGAGGGCCCGGGGTCAGTAGGGGGCCCCATGAGATGCCCCTGGTACCTATAACTGGCTTTTTCATAGGCTTTTTTGGGTGTGGGCGAGGACACAGGGGCCCCATGAGCCCCTATTGCCCGGGGGGCCCCATGAGTTGTCAGTCCGTCCCTGCACCCTGTTAATATGGACCAAAATCTCTAAGGAATGTTTCCAACACCTTTGTAGAATCTATGCCACGAAACATTAAGGCAGTTCTGAAGGCAAAAGGGGGTCCAATCTGGTACTAGAAAGGTAAACCTAATAAAGTGGCTGACAGGGCCACCCATTCAGCGAATTTCAGCCGGATAATCACAAAACTGGCTGAAATTCGAAACTTGTATGGCCAACTTTAGTATTCTGTCTGAGAAACTTGCATGAGACTGCTGTTAGACAGAGTTTGGTGGCGAATGCCATCTATTGGATTGGGTTGCAGACTGTTGGGTATGTTTCTCAACTGTAAGAGGGTGGAATGCTGCTGGGTACATTCATCTGAAGAGTTTTCTGTAGCAAACTGCTCAAAGCCACTCTCCAAGCCAATGGGTCCTGTATACTAAGTGCAAGTGAACCTATTTGTGAGCATCCGAGTATCTACCTTTTATTGTTATTGAGGACTCAGAATGGTTACATAGTTACAAAATTGTTAAGGTTGAGTGTGTGTGTATGTCGCTATCATTTTCCATATCCCTGTACATTTTGTTAGCTAAGAAAAACACATCTAAACGCGTATTGAATTTATCTATACTCATCAATGACACCACCAACTGTGGAAGGAAGTTCCACATCCTTACCACTCTATTAAAACATTTCCTCCCAATGCTAGGATCACCATTTAAAGCTTTGTATATTGCAGTCATATCCCCTCGTAAAGCGGAGCTCCACCCAAAAAGGGAAGTTCCGCTTTAAGGACTGTTCCCCCGCTCCTCATTAAGGATTGGCACCTTTGGGGGGCAGGGGGAGCGGGTACCCGAATTTGACAGGTACCCGCTTCCACTTCCAGTCCGATCGCCTAGGCCAGGGGTAGACAACCTGTGGCTCTCTAGCTGTTGTGGAACTACATTTCCCAAGAGGCAATGCAAAGATTACAAAACTGACAGTTACAGCTATGACTTGCAGAGGCATGATGTAACTTGTAGTCCTGCGGCTCTCAGGTTGCCTACCTCTGGCCTAGGCGATCGGAAGCGGAAGGTGTCCTCCCTCCCTCCCTGTAGTCATTTGGGACACGTGACAGGTCCCAGAAGACTACAGGACCATTCATGAAGCACAGCGCTACTCGCGCATGCGCAGTGGGTACCCAGCTGTGAGGCCGCAAGCTGCACAGCCGGGTGCCCAGATTGAAGATGCCATCCTCCTGGAATACAGGACGGCCGGTGAAACGAGCTGCGGGGGGTCACACCGCGGGACTGAGGGACAGGTAAGTGGCTGTTTTTTAAAAGTCAGCAGCTACCGTTTTTGTAGCTGTAGACCAGCGGTTCTTAACCTGGGGGTCGCGACCCCTTTGGGGGTCGAACGACCATTTCACAGGGGTCGCCTAAGACCATCGGAAAACACATATTTCCGATGGTCTTAGGAACCGAGACACCGCTCCTGTCTCAGGCGATCTGTGGGCGGGATGATATGCTGCCCCTGTAACCTGGCCACACCTCCGGGATCACTCAACAGCTCCGCCTCCTCGCCGCTGATTGGCCACCGGAACTGTAGCTCAGGAGAGGCACACAGGCGGCCAATCACCGGCGAGGAGGTGGAGCTTGGAGAGGAGGAGCCGAGCGGCAGCGCGCGGAGATCGAAGAAGATCGAGGGAGCTGCAGGAGCGAGTGAAGAAAGAGGCCAGAGAAGGAAGACAGCTGACAGGTAAGTGCAAATTTTGCTGCTGCAGCCAGGTATGCAGGCTGTAGATGGGAGAGGGAGAGAGCGAGCCCAGGCTGGAGCAGGAGTCAGCAAGGTAAGTATCATTGGTGTCAGTGGAAGGGATAGTACCCCATCATTTGTGTCACTAATACCAACGATGGGGCACTATTCCTCCCCCCACTGACACCAACGATGGGGCACTATTCCTCCCCCCACTGACACCAACGATGGGGCACTATTCCTCCCCCCACTGACACCAAAGATGGGGCACTATTCCTCCCACTGACACCAACGATGGGGCACTATTCCTCTCACTGACACCAATGATGGGGCACTATTCCTCCCACTGACACCAACCAATGGAGGCACTATTCCTCCCAATGACACCCACAATGGGGCACTATTCCTCCCACTGACACCCACAATGGGGCACTATTCCTCCCACTGACACCCACAATGGGGCACTATTCCTCCCACTGACACCACAATGGGGCACTATTCCTCCCACTGACACCAACGATGGGGCACTATTCCTCCCACTGACACCAATGATGGGGCACTATTCCTCCCACTGACACCAATGATGGAGCACTATTCCTCCCACTGACACCAATGATGGGGCACTATTCCTCCCACTGATGCCAATGATTGTACACTATTCCTCCCACTGATGCCAATGATGGGGCACTATTCCCCCCACTGACACCAATGATGGGGCACTATTCCTCCCACTGACACCAATGATGGGGCACTATTCCTCCCACTGACACCAATGATGGGGCACTATTCCTCCCACTGACACCAATGATGGGGCACTATTCCTCCCACTGACACCAACTGGGGCACTATTCCCCCCACTGACACCAATGATGGGGCACTATTCCTCCCACTGACACCAATGATGGAGCACTATTCCTCCCACTGACACCAATGATGGGGCACTATTCCTCCCACTGACACCAATGATGGGGCACTATTCCTTCCACTGACACCAATGATGGGGCACTATTCCTCCCACTGATACCAATGATGGGGCACTATTCCTCCCACTGATACCAATGATGGGGACACTATTCCTCCCACTAATGCCAATGATGGGGCACTATTCCTCCCACTGATACCAACGATGGGGCACTATTCCTCCCACTGACACCAACGATGGGGCACTATTCCTCCCACTGACACCAACGATGGGGCACTATTCATCCCACTGATACCAAAGATGGGGCACTATTCCTCCCACTGACACCAACGATGGGGCACTATTCCTCCCACTGACACCAATGATGGGGCACTATTCCTCCCACTGACACCAATGATGAGGCACTATTCCTCCCAATGACACCCACAATGGGGCACTATTCCTCCCACTGACACCCACAATGGGGCACTATTCCTCCCACTGACACCACAATGGGGCACTATTCCTCCCACTGACACCCACAATGGGGCACTATTCCTCCCACTGACACCAACGATGGGGCACTATTCCTCCCACTGACACCAATGATGGGGCACTATTCCTCCCACTGACACCAATGATGGAGCACTATTCCTCCCACTGATACCAATGATGGGGCACTATTCCTCCCACTGACGCCAATGATGGGGCACTATTCCTCCCACTGACGCCAATGATTGGGCACTATTCCTCCCACTGATGCCAATGATTGTACACTATTCCTCCCACTGATGCCAATGATGGGGCACTGTTCCCCCCACTGACACCAATGATGGGGCACTATTCCTCCCACTGACACCAATGATGGGGCACTATTCCTCCCACTGACACCAATGATGGGGCACTATTCCTCCCACTGACACCAATGATGGGGCACTATTCCTCCCACTGACACCAATGATGGGGCACTATTCCTCCCACTGACACCAATGATGGGGCACTATTCCCCCCACTGACACCAATGATGGGGCACTATTCCTCCCACTGACACCAATGATGGGGCACTATTCCTCCCACTGACACCAATGATGGGGCACTATTCCTTCCACTGACACCAATGATGGGGCACTATTCCTCCCACTGATACCAATGATGGGGCACTATTCCTCCCACTGATACCAATGATGGGACACTATTCCTCCCACTAATGCCAATGATGGGGCACTATTCCTCCCACTGATACCAACGATGGGGCACTATTCCTCCCACTGACACCAACGATGGGGCACTATTCCTCCCACTGACACCAACGATGGGGCACTATTCATCCCACTGATACCAACGATGGGACACTATTCATCCCACTGACATCAGTGATGGGGCGCTAGTCCTCCCACTGCAAAATTACAGTTATGAAGTAGCAACGAAAATAATTTTATGGTTGGGGGTCACCACAACATGAGGAACTGTATTAAGGGGTCGCAGCATTAGAAAGGTTGAGAACCACTGCTGTAGACTTATATTTTTTGACAGGGTGAGTGGAACTCCGCTTTAAGCATCTCTTCTCCAGGGAGAATAGGTTTAATGCTTGTAGTTGCTCCTCAGAACTGAGGTCCTCCAGTCTCCCTTTTTGTTTTTGATGACCTTCTCTGGACTCTTTCCAGTTGCAGTGCATCTTTCCTGAATTATGGTGATCAAAACTGGATGGCATACTCAGGATGTGGCCGAACCAGAGTTTTGTAAAGTAACAGGATTGTAGTTTTATCTCTTGAGTAAACACTCTTTTTAATGCATGCTAATAGCCTCTCTTGCTGCAGCTTGACATTGCATGCTATTGAGAAGCCTGTGATCTACTAGGACCCCCAGATCCTTTTCCACCCTTGATTTCCTCCAGAGGTTCTCCCCTAGTGGGTAGCTTGCATTCATAATTTTAGCCAACAATTGCATTACTTTACATTTTTCAATATTGAACCTCATTTGCCATATAACTGCCCATCCCTCTATTTTATTGAAATCTTGTAAAATTGCAATATCCTGTTGTGAAGTCATTGCCCTGTTTAGCTTTGAATCATCAGCAAACACTGAGATTGGACTATTTATTCCAACCTCTCTATCATTTATGAATACGTTAAACAGAATTAATCTCTGTGAAGGGAGTCACTTTGGGTGGGTGGCCCATGGAACACAGCTCACTTTAGAGAGGTGGGGAGACCCCTTTCTCAGCTCCCCATATCCCTCTTATGTGTAAGTCACCCTGTGCCTGTTGTTAGGGGTGCAGGGTGAAATGTCCTGATATTGTGTAGACATGTATAGGTGGGGTGTGGGGGTTGTTCATTGTTTACTGCCATGTGGTTCTATTGTGTGTCTTGCTTGGGAGCAAACTATTATGGGATGTATGTGTTTGTGTATTGGCTTGGTGGGGGGTGTCTGCTGGTTTGGTTAGATTTGGTTTGCCCTAGACTCTAGACTGCTCAGAAAATATGCGATTAGTCACTACTCTCTGGGCAGGCTCCTGCATCCAGTTTTCTGTCCAGGTACATACAATCTCATCAGTGCAAAAAAAGATCTTAATTTATAAATTTTGCGTTTATGGGGTACTGTGTCAAATATAGATATACAACGTCCACAGGCCTTCCTCTATCCAAATTACAGTTAACCTTCTCATAGCATGTTAATAGGTTGGTCTGGCAAGAGCAGTCTTTCATAAGTCTATGTTGGTTACTAATAATGATACCATTTTCATCAGCAAGTTTTTGCACCCTTATCATTTCTTCTACTAGTTTACATACTATTGATGTTAGGCTGACTGGTCTATAGTTTCCAGTTATACAGCATGTTTCAGTTACTTGTTCCTAGTCAAGGACTGCTACCTTACTCTGTCTATTCCGCAGACTTAAACCCATCTGTGTTGTTAAGTTGTACCTCATGGACAGGGGCGGATTGACCATTTGGAAAATCGGGCACTGCCCGAGGGCCCGGGGTCAGTAGGGGGCCCCATGAGATGCCCCTTGTACCTTTTTCATAGGCTTTTTTGAGTTTGGGAAAGGACACAGGAGCCCTATGATCCCCTATTGCCGGGGCCCCATGAGTTGTCAGTCCGCCCCTGCTCATGGAATATATTACTTCTAGGGATAGATTGGATAATCTGATTTTACTTATATTTACTTCCCTCTGTGATATATGATCTCGGTATATTTAGTGATATATTCACATTTGCAAACTGCAGTAAATACCTGCATACCAGTTGTGCCCAATAAAAAGGGGTTTCTTCTCATATTTCCATTTTTTTTGTGTAATGGAAGGGGGGGGGAGTCTGTCCTAACAAACTGCAGCTCTAATTAAATTTGACTTTTGTATAGCCTCAGCTTTTATAAATGTACATTCTATACACGTTAAATAAGGAAGGTTAAAAGAAAAACTGTCAACATGTCTTTCAATTCTTACCCCTCAGATGGGCTGCAGGAGGTGGCTGAGCGATTGGTAGGATCTTTTAACGTGGAGCTTGCTGCAGATTCGATAGCAGTGAAAATATCAGAAGCCATAATGAAACTGCAGGAGGAGAGTGTACAGCTAACTGCTCAGGTATATGCTCAAGGACATCAAACATGTCTATCCTAATCTGTTGCATACACATATGGGTTCTATAATTTGCAATGCCTGGGGCATGGCTGTTAAACTACAATTAAGTGACAGCTCCCAGGGTCCATTCAAAGATGTTATCCTCCCTAGTGACACTCAATTATTTTCTACTCCATCTTAATTGTTTCCCTAGGATGAAATATAGGGGATTTATTAGGTGGCTATGTTGTGTATTTTTATTATTATTTATTTATTTCAGGTATTTATATAGCGCCATCAATTTACACAGTGCTTTACATACAGTCAGGTCCATAAATATTGGGACATCGACACAATTCTAAAATTTTTGGCTCTATACACCACCACAATGGATTTGAAATGAAATGAACAAGATGTGCTTTAACTGCAGACTGTCAGCTTTAAATTGAGGGTATTTACATCCAAATCAGGTGAACGGTGTAGGAATTACAACAGTTTGCATATGTGCCTCCCACTTATTAAGGAACCAAAAGTAATGGGACAGAATAATAATCATAAATCAAACTTTCACTTTTTAATACTTGGTTGCAAATCCTTTGCAGTCAATTACAGCCTGAAGTGTGGAACGCATAGACATCACCAGATGCTGGGTTTCATCCCTGGTGATGCTCTGCCAGGCCTCTACTGCAACTGTCTTCAGTTCCTGCTTGTTCTTGGGGCATTTTCCCTTCAGTTTTGTCTTCAGCAAGTGAAATGCTCAATCGGATTCAGGTCAGGTGATTGACTTGGCCATTGCATAACATTCCACTTCTTTCCCTTAAAAAACTCTTTGGTTGCTTTTGCAGTCTGCTTTGGGTCATTGTCCATCTGCACTGTGAAGCGTCCAATGAGTTCTGAAGCATTTGGCTGAATATGAGCAGATAATATTGCCCGAAACACTTCAGAATTCATCCGGCTGCTTTTGTCAGCAGTCACATCATCAATAAATACAAAAAAACCAGTTCCATTGGCAGCCATACATGCCCACGCCATGACACTACCACCACCATGCTTCACTGATGAGGTGGTATGCTTAGGATCATGAGCAGTTCCTTTCCTTCTCCATACTCTTCTCTTCCCATCACTCTGGTACAAGTTGATCTTGGTCTCATCTGTCCATAGGATGTTGTTCCAGAACTGTGAAGGCTTTTTTACGTGTCGTTTGGCAAACTCTAATCTGGCCTTCCTGTTTTTGAGGCTCACCAATGGTTTACATCTTGTGGTGAACCTTCTGTATTCACTCTGGTGAAGTCTTCTCTTGATTATTGACTTTGACACACATACACCTACCTCCTGGAGAGTGTTCTTGATCTGGCCAACTGTTGTGAAGAGTGTTTTCTTCACCAGGGAAAGAATTCTTCGGTCATCCATCACAGTTGTTTTCCTTGGTGTTGCTGAGCTCACCGGTGCGTTCCTTCTTTTTAAGAATGTTCCAAACAGTTGTTTTGGCCACGCCTAATGTTTTTGCTATCTCTCTGATGGGTTTGTTTTGTTTTTTCAGCCTAATGATGGCTTGCTTCACTGATAGTGACAGCTCTTTGGATCGCATCTTGAGAGTTGACAGCAACAGATTCCAAATGCAAATAGCACACTTGAAATGAACTCTGGACCTTTTATCTGCTCATTGTAATTGGGATAATGAGGAAATAACACACACTTGGCAATGGAACGGCTGAGAAGCCAATTGTCCCATTACTTTTGGTCCCTTAATAAGTGGGAGGCACATATGCAAACTGTTGTAATTCCTACACCGTTCACCTGATTTGGATGTAAATACCCTCAAATTAAAGCTGACAGTCTGCAGTTAAAGCACATCTTGTTTGTTTCATTTCAAATCCATTGTGGTGGTGTATAGAGCCAAAAATTTTAGAATTGTGTCGATGTCCCAATATTTATGGACCTGACTGTATATATGTTGTACATTCACATCAGTCCCTAACCCTCAAGGGGTGTACAATCCTAAGGTCCCTAACTTACATTTGTACATACACATACTAGGGACAATTTGGACAGGAATCAATTCACCTACCAGCATGTCTTTGGAGTGTGGGAGGAAACTGGAGTACCCAGAGGAAACCCACACAGGCACAGGGAGAACATGCAAACTCCAGGCAGGTGGTGCCGTGGTTGGGGTTCGAGCCAATGACCCGAGTACTGCCAGGCGGAAGTGCTAACCATTTAGCCACTGTGCTGCCCATATTATTATAGCTCCAACAGTTTGCTCAGCACTTTACAAAATGAAGGTAGACATTACAGTTACAATACAATTTGGTAAAAGAGGATACAGAGGGCCCGGCTCTCAGAGCTTACAATCTAGGAGGAAGGGTTGAGTGATACAAAGGGTAATAGCTGTGGGGGGATGAGCTGATGGAGGAAATAAATTGCGAATTACTAGGTAGAAGCAGGATAGACTTCTTTATAGAGAGAGGTTTTCAGGGATCGTCTAAAGGTGGATAGATTAGGAGACAGCCGGACAGATTGGGGTGGGGAGTTCCATAGGATGAGAGAAGCTTGGGAGAAGTCCTGGAAGTGAACATGGGAGGAAGTGACATGGGAACTAAAGAGCAGAAGGTCTTGAGAGGCTTTACAAAATGAAGGCAGACATTACAGTTACACTGCAATTTGGTACAAGAGGAAACAGAGGGCCCAGCTCGTCAGAGCTTACAATCTAGGAGGAAGGGTTGAGTGATACAAAGGGTAATAGCTGTGTGGGGGGGATGAGCTGATGGAGGAAATAAATGGCGAATTACTAAGTAGAAGCAGGATAGACTTCTTTAAAGAGAAAGGTTTTTAGGGATCGTCTAAAGGTGGATAGATTAGGAGAGAGCCGGACAGATTGGGGTAGGGAGTTCCATAGAATGGGAGAAGCTTGGGAGAAGTCCTGGAGGTGAGTATGGGAGGAGGTGACACGGGAACTAAAGAGCAGAAGGTCTTGGGAGGATCAAAGAGATTTGGTTGATATATTGAGACCAGGTTGGTGATGTAGCCGGGGGCAGAGTTGTGGATGGCTTTGTAAGTTGTTGTTAGTATTTTGAATTTTATTCGTTGAGCGAGTGGAAGCCAGTGGAGGGATTGGCAGAGAGGGATGGAGGACACTGAGTGGAGGCCAGTGGAGGGATTGGCAGACAGGGATGGAGGACACTGAGTGGAGGCCAGTGGAGGGATTGGCAGAGAGGGATGGAGGACACTGAGTGGAGGCCAGTGGAGGGATTGGCAGAGAGGGATGGAGGACACTGAGTGGAGGCCAGTGGAGGGATTGGCAGAGAGGGTTGGATGACACTGAGTGGAGGCCAGTGGGAGGATTGTCAGAGAGGGATGGAGGACACTGAGTGGAGGCCAGTGGAGGGATTGGCAGAGAGGGGTGGAGGACACTGAGTGGAGGCCAGTGGAGGGATTGGCAGAGAGGGGTGGAGGACACTGAGTGGAGGGATTGGCAGAGAGGGATGGAGTTCACTGAGTGTAAGCCAGTGGAGGGATTGGCAGAGAGGGGTGGAGGACACTGAGTGGAGGTTAGTGGAAGGATTGGCAGAGAGGGATGGAGGACACTGAGTGGAGGCCAGTGGAGGGATTGGCAGAGTGTGGTGGAGGACACTGAGTGGAGGTTAGTGGAAGGATTGGCAGAGAGGGATGGAGGACACTGAGTAGAGGCCAGTGGAGGGATTGGCAGAGAGGGATGGAGGACACTGAGTGGAGGCCAGTGGAGGGATTGGCAGAGAGGGATGGAGGACACTGAGTGGAGGCCAGTGGAGAGATTGGCAGAGAGGGATGGAGGACACTGAGTGGAGGCCAGTGGAGGGATTGGCAGAGAGGGATGGAGGACACTGAGTGGAGGCCAGTGGAGGGATTGGCAGAGAGGGATGGAGGACACTGAACGTTGGTAAGGTGGATGAGCCTGGCAGCAGTATTCATGATGGACTGGAGGGGGGATAGCCTATGTCAAGGTAAGCCAATGAGGAGAGTGTTGCAGTAGTCAAGTCAAGAGATTACCAGGGAGTGAAGTAGGAGCTTTGTGGTATCATTGGTTAAAAAGGAGCATATTCTGGAAGATGTTGCGGAGGTTGATGTGGCATGATTTGGACAGGGAATGGATGTGGGCCTGAAAGGATAGTTCAGAATCCAGGGTTACACCTAGCACCCTGCCATGCAGGGATGGGTTGATAGTGGTGCTATTGATCCTGACTGAGAAATCAGGGGAAGAGGCACGTGGGGGAGGTAATATTATGAGCAGTAATTATTTTGTTTTCTCTTGTTTTTATAGATTTGTTCTGCTAAATAATTACCAATATGTATTGTAGATCTTCCAGTCCTGTGGAACCCCGCCTCCATCGCGCTCACGACGCTCCCCACCAGAAGACCCCAAGAGAAAGTTTCGAGTTTACAGCAATGATGAGAAGCCCACGTCAGCAGCCGGCACCAATATAGACAGACTGGTGAGACAGCATTACAGCATAGACTGTATGATAATACCGAGTGTTCTATGTATTTTCTTATCTTGTAAATCCTTTTCTTTTGATAGGTGTCAGAGGTGGTGTCTAAGCTCCGCCCACTGCGTGGTCTTTGGAAGCTCCTCCCTCTGTCCCTTTGCTCTGATAACAGAGTCTCTGCTGGTCTTAGTAACCAAGATAAATGTTGGAATGGACAGTCGAGAGGGCGGTTAGTATTGAGATTAAAAAATATGTAAACCCAACATTTCATATTCCTGATATGTGTCTGCTGTAACATGTACTTGTATGAAAAAGTATCCAGTTCTCTTTGTATTGCTTCCTTTGTGTGAAATCCCTGGTGTTTCTGCCAGTCTCTCTGCTTTCCTAATAAAAACTGACCGCACTGGACATGAGAGCACAGCGTGGTTAGTTTTCTGGCTGTGCTGGGAACCCAGTCTGCTCTCCTCCAATGCTCAGCCTTGTGCTGACACGCCTTCCCTCATAGCCATTCACTGGGAAGATTAGTGTGCTGCTCTTTCTCCTCCCTTAGCTCTCTGAGCTCCTTATGCAGCTGAGATATGTGCTATAAAACAAAGGGGAAATGGGTGTTTATAATGGTTTTTTTATGCTGTATGTATACACAAATGTTTGGCCTCTCATTTCCATTGATGGGTTGTTTTGCAAAGTCATTGTTTACATGTACTTTAACCCCCTCGCGCCGGGTCCTCCCAGCCCTTTAAGGGTTTCAGGAGGTGGGGCGGGGTTTAGGGTCATGTGACCGCTGTGATACGCCGTCACGGTTTTCACATGATCGGGAAAGATCCCGATCGAAAGAGGAGATCGGCACCTTTCCGTGAGTACCAGACACGTGTGCTGGGAGCACGCAGGGCGCGCACTTTCAGCACATATGTTCTTTTTTAATAGAACGCAAATGTGCGGCCGCTCGGCGTCTAGGCCCAGACGCCGGGAGGCCGCACTTTTGCATTCGGCCGGCGTGAAGAGGTTAAAGACACAAAAGGGGAAATCGGAGAGAAGAGATATCCTGATTATGACTTCTTCTTGTGACCCTACAGGTACCTCCCACAGGTGACAGGTGACGGTGTGGTGAATCAGATTAATAACCCAGAGGTGGAGTTGCCGATGTCACCTCCAGACCCCAGAACACGCCAGCTGGGCATACAACTGCGTGTAGTCAGGAGTAAACTGCAGGCCGCATACAGAGGGAGGGACAGCGACACCCAGGATACCTGTAAGTGATCATCTACTACTGTAATGCAAAAAAACAAGATATTTTGGTCAAATAAACTGTTAAATTTTTCTTAAAGGGACATGCCAGTTCAAATAACATTGTCCAACCTACACCCTCCCATCCTTTTAGAATAACATATTTAATTTTTTTGTGTGAGATAAATGACTATACAGTGGGGGGGAAAAACAATTATTTGATTCCCTGCAGATTTTGTAAATTTGCTTACTTACAAAGAAATTAAGTGGGTCTATACTTTTTATCATAGGTGTATTTTAATTGATAGAGACAAAATATCAACCGAAAATCCAGAAAAAACGCATGATACAAATAGAGTGGCAGTTCAGTGAGTAAAAGAAGTATTTGTTCCCAAGCAGAACATGACTTAGTACTTGGTAGAGAAAGCCTTGTTGGCAGGGGTAAGACAGGGGTAAAATATCTCTTGTAGTTGGTTACCAGGTTTGTACACATCTCAGAAAGGAGTTTGGTCCACTCTTCTTTACAGATCTCTAAATCCTTAAGGTTTCTTGGCTGTTGCATGGCAGCTCGAAATTTCAGCTCCCCCCATATATTTTCTATAGGATTAGGTCTGGAGACTGGCTAGGCCACTCCATGACCTTAATGTGCTTCTTCTGGAGCCACTCCTTTGTTGCCTTGCCTATAACGGAAGTACCCAAGCGCAGACTGGGTCGGTTCCGTTACATATAGCGTCAACAGTTTGTGCAGTCCTTTACAATATAAAGGGAGACAGAATGGTTACAATACAATAAAATACAAGAGGGCTAAGTGGGCCCTGCTCGTAGGAGCCTGCAATCTAAGTTTACATTTTCGGCATGGTGCCAGTGCGCAGAGATGAATGATTGCCAGCCAACCAAGGCGGCTGAAGAACAACATCCAGGAGAAGCCTAGGAGATGTTGGTGCTGGCGAGGGACCTCACGGTCATCAGGCCATTAGAGCAGAGGTGAGTATTCCTAATAGCTAATGTTTTACTGTTTTTCAGTGCATTCTGGGCATTTTGGAAGGTCTCCTGAGGTTATCTGTAAAAATAGCTTCAAATGCATAAACACGGTATGCAAATGCGGCTAAACAGACGTGTTTTTTAAACCTACGTTTCTAGCAGTCAGTTTCCATCGTTTAGAAGTGTCCTGTGTAAATGAAGCCTAATGCAGGCCATAGACGGGTCGTTTGTTGGCCGAATTTTCGTCCGAAAGAATAATCGGCCGATATTGGCACTGTTAGTGGGCCAATTTTCACGGTTCCTTCTCGTTTCTTTTATCGGTCAGGCTGGAAAATCTTCGAAAAACGGTTGATTTTCGTAAGCATTGGTGGCAACAGAACGACTGATTTTTCGTTTTTTTCGGCCAACAATTCGGCCGATAAATGACCTGTATATGGCCTGCACTTAGAACAGCAGTTTATCTACCCCATCCTCCTCCCCAGCAGGCTCCTCTGCACTGTTAGAGCCTCTTCTCCCACTGCAAGGGAGGATTTATGCTTTCCCTGGAGTTGGGTTTTTAATGCACTGTTATTGCCATTGTAAATGAGAAAGTGTTAGGGCCGTCATATGTTGCTCAATTGTCTCTCATTCAGCCTGCAAGCTGGTGAGAAAAATCAATTGCTTCCCCCATCAATGCAAACAGCGTGGATGGAGAATCTCTACTGCTGGCTATTATAGTCAGGCAGTCATGGCACCATGATAGGATGCAGTCATTGTTCAGCAGATCATTCTCAACCTGACTCAGTCAATTTTTAAATTGATTTTTGCTTGGGGCCACCCATGGCTCAAACTTCAGCTGATTCAGCAGAAATGGTCTAAAATTCGAGCCATCTATTGGGGCCTTTTTCAAAAGTCAGATACTAGGCAAAATTCCACCAACATAGACACTTCATGATGGCAGCACAGTGGCTATTATTATTATTATTATGCAGTATTTATAAAGTGCCAACAGTTCGCTCAGAGCTTTACATTACAAAGGGAGACAGAACATGTGACAGAACAATAACAATACAATGTGATATACGATGGCTAAATGGTTAGCACTTCTGCCTGGCAGTAGGCGGGTCGTTGGTTCGAATGCCAGCCATGGCACCACCTGCCTGGAGTTTGCATGTTCTCCCTGTGACTGTGTGGGTTTCCTCTGGGTACTCCAGTTTCCTCCCACACTCCAAAGACATGCTGGTAGGTGAATTGGCTCCTGTCTAAATTGTCCCTAGTATGTGTATGTATGAATGTGAGTTAGGGACCTTAGATTGTACACCCCTTGAGGGTTAGGGACCTTAGATTGTACCCCCCTTGAGGGTTAGGGACCTTAGATTGTACAACCCTTGAGGGTTAGGGACCTTAGATTGTACAACCCTTGAGGGTTAGGGACCTTAGATTGTACCCCCCTTGAGGGTTAGGGACCTTAGATTGTACTCCCCTTGAGGGTTAGGGACCTTAGATTGTACCCCCCTTGAGGGTTAGGGACCTTAGATTGTACAACCCTTGAGGGTTAGGGACCTTAGATTGTACGCCCCTTGAGGGTTAGGGACCTTAGATTGTACCCCCCTTGAGGGATAGGGACTGATGTGAATGTACAATATATATGTAAAGTGCTGCGTAAATTGACGGTGCTATATAAGTACCTGAAATAAATAAATAATAATGTTTAGATGATGAGAATATACTGACTTCCTGATTCATATATGGTTCATCTGTACAACTGATCAAGAATACAGCCCCAACTGTCCCTCATTTGGAAGGTCTGCTCTTCTTGAGGCCTCATGCACGCTGGGCTTTTTAAAAACACCGGTACCATTAGCTGGATAAAGTTGTGTTAAAAATGTGAGTTTTTCCACGTTTTTTAGCATTTTTGCATTAGTATTTAGCCGCGTGTAGCCGTGTTTTTCGCGTTAGCGTTTTTTAGCAGAAAAGGAAAAAAAAGTAGCTCAAAAACACCAGTTTGCCAAGTTTTATAGTGTTTACCAGCGTTAGAGCGTTTTTTTACAGATAAAAAACTCCTCTTGAAACCCACTATTTTTGTGGGGGGTTCAGCCAGAAAACACCCCTGCCAAAAAATGCTGATTAACCACTTCCCGTCTGGCCGCTGTATATAAACGGCAGGACGGTGGCAGTGCAGGGGCGGGTTGCAGTTCATAAACGGCACCCCCCATTTTGGATTGTGCGCACTCCGGTGCCGGCTGTGTCCAGTTGAGGTCCCGATCATGTGATCACTGATTGGCCAATCAGCGATCACATGAATAGGTGTAAGCAAGATGTCACTTCTGACATCATTGCTTACTACGTGTGAAATCTGTGAATGATCACAGAGATCACATTGTACAAGGCTATTCACAACAGCCTTGTACCATGTGACAAGCTGCGACCAATCACAGCTCGCACAGTATTTCTCAATGGCTGCAAGAATGCAGTCCCCTGCTACCAGGTGGAGATACCACAATGGAGCATGTCTAGTTCGGTGAATACTCGTCAAATGTAGAAAGCGGGGTCACATGCTGTTCATGTCAACCAGATAATACATATCCAAGAATCAGCTTCACCTCCTTCCATAAGCCATGCCCCACTGACGCGTTTCATCCCAAAATCTCAACTTTACGATTAATGTGATACTAAACACACACTGTTTAATTTACATTATCCCTTCTATTTCTGTATATAGATGATGGCACTGTAATTATTTTAATTATAAAAAGATCTAAGTACCTTTTTTCTTAATCGATATACAACAGTCACACGACCCAACTTTTTCCCAGCCTGTCTACAGGGAAACATAAGCCGGAGGAGCATCTAGTCCTCTGCTGCTGGTCACATGTTCACAATTAAAAAAACAGCCTTTGGAATACAGAGTAAAAACAAAATAATATCAATAAACTGTTTTAGATCATAATACAAATATATATTTGAAATCAAATCTTTATTTTTTTTTTGGCAACAACATGGTGTGGGTGAATTGCTGCCAGTCACAGGCTATGTCATGTCTCTCTAGCCTGTGTCTTAGAATAACAGGGAGGTGATCCTCCATCAATCAAGATGTAATATCCCACTCTCATTGGGTTTAGATGGTTAGTTGGCATGGAGGAGGAGTGTGCTGTCAGTGTATACGCCCACATGTGTGACTCTGTAGTCACATGGGCTGCTCAGATGTGATTGGGAGGAAATACTCAGAATAGAAACTCACTAAAAACTGAGCATGTGCACTAACTGCCAACACTGCTCTGCAAAATCCCCAGTTGCACCGGGGACATGGACAGGAGGGGGAAACAAAGAACAACAGGATCAACCAGGTTTTTTGTAGAATACAGAAAACAAATCCGATAGTGACTGAGTGAGTATGAACAGCATGTAATACAGTATTTATTGATAGTTTTTTTTGATGCGGGTTTGATGACACTTTAAGACCTAGTAGAATGAAATGTGTTCAGAGAGGATGATTAAAGTGGTAATAAACAATTTTTTAATACTTTTACCTACATAATAAATCTTACCTGTAGGTAAAATGAATATCTCCTGAACGTGCACCGTTTAGGAGATATTAGCTCTTTTTGAGAGCCAGTGCATGCTCTCTGAAGCAAGGCATACCCTCGCTTATCCTTCAGAGCACTGTGCCGTGTGCCGTGCACGGGAGTGATGTCATTGCGGCTCCGCCAGTCAGACGGCTGGGGCTTGTGAACCTAGAAGGAAGATCAGGTGAAGATGGAAGCAATGTCAGCAGTGACAGCACAATGCTGGAGGGCTTCTTTTTAAGTTCTTCATAATGTGCTAGTACAGGGGCGTATTTACCACAAGCCAAACAAGGCATTTGCTTAGGGTGGCATTTTTCAGGGGGACAGCAGCATTTTTCAGGGGGGCAGCACTGCCCCCCGGAATAAGGGATGGAGGAAGGAACACACAGCATGGGGACCAGGTGAGATCCGAGAGAGGCTGTGGGCTGCCTGAAGGTGTATGCAGAGCCCGACTCTTGTTCTTGGGGATGTCTGGAGCTGTGAAGGTGAGTGTCTTCTCCCTCTCACCAGGGTGGGTGGGGGTGGCCAGTGTATGGGGAGTGGTGGTAGAGGAAGGCTGTCTTGGTTGGGGGTTGCCAGTGTAAGGGGAGTGGTGGTAGAGGAAGGCTCTCTCGGGTGGGGGTGGCCAGTGTATGGGGAGTGATGGTAAAGGAAAGCTCTCTCAGGTGGGGGTAGCCAGTGTATGTGGAATGGTGGTAGAGGAAGGCTCTCTCGGGTGGGGGTGGCCAGTGTATGGGGAGTGGTGGTAGAGGAAGGCTCTCCCGGGTGGGGGTGGCCAGTGTAAGGGGAGTGGTGGTAGAGGAAGGCTCTCTCGGGTGGGGTGGCCAGTGTAAGGGCAGTGGTGGTAGAGGAAGGCTCTCTCGGGTGGGGGTTTCCAGTGTAAGGGGAGTGGTGGTAGAGGAAGGATCTCTCGGGTGGGGGTGGCCAGTGTATGGGGAGTGGTGGTAGAGGAAGGCTCTCGGGTGGGGGTGGCCAGTGTAAGGGGAGTGGTGGTAGAGGAAGGCTCTCTCAGGTGGGGGTGGCCAGTATAAGGGGAGTGGTGGTAGAGGAAGGCTCTCTCAGGTGGGGGTGACCAGTGTATGGGGAGTGGTGGTAGAGGAAGGCTCTCCCGGGTGGGGGTGGCCAGTATAAGGGGAGTGGTGGTAGAGGAAGGCTCTCTCAGGTGGGGGTGACCAGTGTATGGGGGGAGTGGTGGTAGAGGAAGGCTCTCCCGGGTGGGGGTGGCCAGTGTAAGGGAGAGTGGTGGTAGAGGAAGGCTCTCTCGGGTGGGGGTGGCCAGTGTATGGGGAGTGGTGGTAGAGGAAGGCTCTCTCTCGGGGGGTGGCCAGTGTAAGGGGAGTGGTGGTAGAGGAAGGCTCTCTCGGGTGGGGGTGGCCAGTGTATGGGGAGTGGTGGTAGAGGAAGTCTCTCTCGGGTGAGGTTGGCCAGTGTATGGGGAGTGGTGGTAGAGGAAGTTTCTCTCGGGTGGTTGTGGCCAGTGTATGGGGAGTGGTGGTAGAGGAAGGCTCTCTTGGGTGGGGGTGGCCAGTGTATGGGGAGTGGTGGTAGAGGAAGGCTCTCTTGGGTGGGGGTGGCCAGTGTAAGGGGAGTGGTGGTAGAGGAAGGCTCTCTTGGGTGGGGGTGGCCAGTGTATGGGGAGTGGTGGTAGAGGAAGGCTCTCTTGGGTGGGGGTGGCCAGTGTATGGGGAGTGGTGGTAGAGGAAGGCTCTCTCGGGTGGGGTGTTGTTGGTCAATGCCAAGCGCTCTTTGTGGGGAAGTGGGGGTTGGTCGGTGTCAGGGTCTCTCTATGGGGGGGGGGGGGAGAACGATTTTTGTGTTGCCTAGGGCAGCACAAAACCTAAATACACCACTGTGCTAGTATGCAATGTATACTAGCACATTATAATATTACCTTTAAAGGGATTTTTTTTTTTTTTTTTACCTGTGGTTTTCTACGGCTTTAAGCTGGAGTCGATTCTTGGATTCAAGCTACTTGGTTGACAAGGACAGCATGCTGTCACGCTTTCTACATTTGAGGAGAGTCCTCCATCCACACTATTAGCGCAGATGGATGAATCTTCCCTATCAGCTCTCATATTCTGGCAGCCAGCTCCAGCGGCTGTCTCAATACCCAAAGAGTGCCTGCTTCTGATTGGAAACTGTTAGTTCCAGGCCAGATCATTTCAACAAGGGCAGTTCCCATGTTTCTCTCCTGACAGGTCTTCTGTAATGGTAGCCACTATAATGGAATGTGGACTGTAATCTGTAGGAAGTCATTCATGGTCACACTGTTTACCATTTTTGCTTTCTTCCATCAGTTGACGAAGGCAGTGGAAGCTCGGGCGGAGGTGACCCAGTCACTGAGAAACCTGTAATCAAGGTCCAGAACCGAGACACCAAATACAAGAAGTATCCAGGGAAGGATAAGAAGAAGGATGAGAAGAATGAGACCGGTGGGAAAAAAAGGGGACGGGCGGAAAAGAAGAAGGTTTGGTGCTGATGCAGGGTGGTCTATAACCCCAACGTACAGTATGACATTTGGGGTGTTGCTCATGGGACTTGTTCTATCTGCCTGACCTGACAGCTGCCTGAATGAATGCGTGTTTGCCAATACATTCCAACATGTGCACATCTATGGGACATCACTGTACATACATGTGTGCCTCTATCCTATTGTTTGTTATAGACATACAGCATACATATTTATTTAGCACTGGATACAACAAATGGGTTGAAATGGACCTGTAATCCAATGTTAACAGCATTATTGAGATGGTTATAAAGAAGAAACAAAAGCTGAAACACTGCTGACCTTTCCAGGTGAATATGCTGCTCTAGATTCCCTCCAGTGCTAAGTCTAGGTGTTTGGTCACATGATCATTATGGGAGTAATAAATGAAAGATGAACTCTGATTCTTTTTCCCCTTTGGACGTTAGGTGGGCAGTAATGGCAGGAGCAGGGGCGGACTGACAACTCATGGGGCCCCCGGGAAATAGGGGATCATGGGGCCCCTGTGTCCTTGCCAAAACTCAAAAAGCCTATGAAAAAGGTACCAGGGGCATCTCATGGGGCCCCCTACTGACCCCGGGCCCTCAGGCAGTGCTCCAGTTTCCAAATGGTCAGTCCACCCCTGGACAGAAGCCTAAAGCAGGATTTGCACCAGAAAGAAAAAGTATTTCAGTTTTTGTCTAACTTTATTTATCCATCTCAGTGAGAGTGTTAACATTTCTCTATAGTAGTACTAAAGACATTTTTTCTTTAATGCAGACACAGCATTAAGGTATAAAAACGCCCTAGTACACGCGTTTTATCACAAGCCCCCCCCCCCACATCCTCAAATACCTGCTGCCGACTCCATGATTGATCAGCGTGGCCCACCCCTCCTGAACTTCCTCCTTCCACAGGAGACACGGAGGGCAGCAGAGCGATGGGCTCCTGCTATAGTCAATCAAATTGTTGGGAGGGAAATGGGACCGGGGATGTGGCCTACGGACGCATACAGCTGGGCTCAGGTCCCAGATAGAAGCACACACGCAAAGGTGCCCCCAGAGCACCTGACTAGCTAAAGGAGACACCTGCAAACAGGAAACGGGGGGACTAAAATAAAAAAAATTTTGTGGGTTTTATCACTTTAAGGGTTGAATATAGGTCTGCTTTGCCTGTTTTCTGCTGATTAAATACCAACTCCACCCGGGATGCTCGTAACAAACCCAGGCAAATGGTTTGCAAAATTTTCTTTAAAAAAACCCATTTAGGGCAGAATGAGAGGTTCTTTTGTAAGAAGTCACCCCACCCACTGCAACTCACTTTCTCAGGTTCCCTTCACCCCTCCATTCCTTTGTCGAAGCCGGGTGGTGTCCTATCCCTGTGTAAGCTCTTTTTTAGAACTTATAAAGGGTTAACTTCATCCTCCTTGTCAGGTGACGGTGCTCTGGCATAGTGATTGGACACTGAGGTCTGAGTACTGCCTCCTGGGAGGAGGTCACATATTCCCCATACCACAGTGGGTATTTATTGAGTGCTCTGAGTGGCAGGGCATTGTGGCTAAGGTGACTATCATTGGGTGGATTTTTTTTTTCTTACAGTAAACATGACAGGCTCTCTTTTAAAGTGTTATTCCATTTTGAAGCTAATACCTTCCAATGTACAAAGTTCCCCTTTAAAGTATTGTGGGGCTACATCATTTTTTTTTTTTGTGACAGGAAGTATCATAGAAAGAAATGTATATTTAACAATTATAGAATGATTGTCAGAGTGTCATGGTGTCTAGTGAAAACATAGTTTTTAGGAAAAGAAATTTCAGTATTTTTGTTCCAAAATAAGACACTTGCAATAATTAAATACAACCTACCAGTCTTCTGACCCATTTCCTTTGAAATGGGGGAAAATAGCTTATATGTAAATTAGCAGGTGTCTGGTACCAAAAATCAGCGATACACACAATATTTTATTATTATGACTTTACCATTAAGATCAACAGCACAACCATTGGTCCTTCCCCTCATGCCAGGGTGCCAGGCGTAATCCTAGACTCTGACCTCTCCTTTGGGCCCCACATCCAATCACTGGCTAAATCCTGCCGCCTGGAACATTTCCAAAATCCGCCCCCTTCCTGACCAATGACACCACAAAACAACGTATCCACACCTTGGTTATATCCCACCTCAATTACTGCAACTCCCTCCTCGCTAGTCTACCGTTACACAGGCTATCCCCCCTTCAGTCTTTTATGAATGCTGCTGCTAGACTCATACACTTTACCAACTGATCAGCGACTGCTGCCCCTCTCTGCCAATCCCTTCATTGGCTTCCACTAATCCAACGTATAAAATTCAAAATACTAACCACAGCTTACAAAGCCATCCACAACACTGCCCCTAGCTACATCACCAACCTCATCCACAGATATCATCCAAACCGTCTTCTCTGCTCCTCCCATGATATCTTTTCCTTTCTAGCTCCCTCATCACCTCCTCCCACACTCGCTTTCAGAACTTCTCCAGAGCCTCTCCCATCCTCTGGAACTCCCTACCACAGTATGTCCGGTCAGCCCCCACCTTATCTGCCTTTAGGCAACTTTGAAAACTTACTTATTCAGGGAAGCCTACCCCACCTCCACCTAAGAACTGTACTTGATCACCTCATCAGATCATCCCCTACAGCTATCACCTTTTGTATCACCTCCCCCTTCCTTTAGATTGTAAGTTCCACAAGCTGGGCCCTCCTATTCCTTCTGTACTGAAATGTATTGTAATTGTACTGTCTCCCTTATATTGTAAAGCGTGAGCGCAAATTGTTTGCACTATATAAATCCTGTATAATAATAATAATAATAATTAAAATACCGGATTTATATAGCACCAGTACAATTCAATACAAGAGGATTAAGAGGACCCTGCTTAGGAGAGCTTACAATCTAAAATAGCCATACGCCGGACCTTCACACCTCTATGCTCTTGATGGACATTCCATTCCAAAACCATGACCATTTCTGGGCAGCTATACCAGCCTCCACTTTTCTGGGAAGGTTTCTCCACATTCTGGATTTTGGAGTGTGTCTGCGGGAATATGTCACATTTAACCACAAAAGCATTTGTGAGGTCAGGTACTGATGTTGGATGAGAAGCCGTAGCTCACAATTGGCATTCCAACATCCAGTCGGTCACAGCTGGCAATCCGACATGTTCAGTAGGGTTGAGGTTAGGGCTCTGGGAAGGCCATTCAAGTTCTTCCACACCAGACTCATGTCCTTATGAAGTACAGGGGCACAGTCATGCTTGGACAAAAAAGGTCCTAAACAAACTGCTACCACAAGGTTGGTAGCACACAATTATCTAAAATATCTTTGTATGTTGTAGCATTAACAGTTCTCTTCACTGGAAACACCTTAATCATTTGGTTGGGTATCCATCTACTTTTGGCCATACAGTATTTATTGCACAGGGAGCCTAGGGTTGTTTTCAGGTAATGGGCCCCCCGCCAGTTTAATGGCATCATGCATGAAGGTCCCTGTACACAGACATTTGTGTATAGGCGGAGCTTGTGGGGTTGCAATGATGACCTTGCCCGTGCTCCTGGGGGCCCGTGCGGCCTCTCTGTCACCTTAGGTTTTACATTGTGTTGCTGGGGAAAAGTGCTTGCCACATCCCACTATGTAGATAATTCAGTAAACTCAGAGGCCCACCCAGGCCCATCCTGGTCCTCCTGAGTTTCTAGTTTCATCTACACAGTGTGATGGGGCAAGTACCCTTTCCCTCAGCGGTGCACTCTCTGTTCGACTCCCCCCCAGCCCTGCTCAATCATGCACATGCACACAAGGTAGGGGGCAGGCAGGCCACACTCTGAGCTACCGGATGAAAGTGGTGGGCTTGTATGTGAATCTGAAAGTCAGAGGGCTTGTCCAACCTTGGCGGGGCCCAGACCGGGCCCTATGAGTTTCCACTTTAACATACAAGTCCACCGCTTTCACCTGGCAGCTCAAAGTGTGACCTGCCTGCCCCCTACCTTGTGTGCATGTGCAGCCAGCACCAGGAGGAGGCGGCGGCTGGTAGTGGGGGAGTCCCACGTCAGCTTTTACATCAGCAAGGGAAAATGTCACCAGCACACCGAGGATCACCAATATGGGTCCAAAAGTAGTAATAAACGATCACATAGTTACAGCAAGGCAACGTTTCGGAGTCTCGCAGGACCCCTTCAATAGGCGTTGCGGGACCCCTTCTTCAGGCATGTGCTTTTACATCAGGACCCACAATCTTCAAACTACACCTCTGCCTTTGTGTTTTGCTTTTGGAATGGGCTTGTGATGCATTACTGAAGGATTTGGAATTCAGTGTTTTGATTTTTTGATTGGATCTTTTGCAGCAGTATACCATTTAAAAATGACTCCTGTCATGGTGGCAAAGGATATCAAAAAGATGCTTCCAGGTACAGGGAAAGGGAGCATGTCTAATGTGTATGATCATTTAATAATCTTAAAGGAAACCTTTTATTAAATGGAGTAAAAAAGCTGCGATTTCTGATTGCCTTCTGAAAAAAATGTCTTAAAGTCCAACTCTGGAAAATTCGAAAATATTCTACCTGCACCTCAAGTGTTAACTGCTCATTTATTTTAGGGAAGAGTTCATGCAGTTTTACATACCCTATCCTTAGCACCCCTGGAAGACGGTGCTGCCCTGCGTAGTAGACTGTCGCTCGGCATCCTCATGTCCAATGTAACAAGAAGAGTGAGACACTCAGCCCGGGTTCACACTGATGCGGTTCAGAATACGCAGCATTTTCTGTGCGAATTGCGCATCACACAATCGCACCCCGTTCATACGAACCATTGCGGGTGTGTATGTTTAGTTAATAACACCCTGAAAGGAGTCCACATAACGCGGTACGATGTGCAGAATGGGATCACATACAGTATGTGTGAATACCCATGTAACCTGATTCTAGTGTGGACCCAAAAAAAGGGTCCTGCAGCTTTTTGATGCAGGTGCAGTGAGATTAGAGCCATACAAAATGTACAGCTCCGATCGCACCGCACACAAGTCGCATGTGATTCGCACAGGTATGCGGCGCAGTTCCTGT